GTCCTTGCCAGTGGTGGGCAGCTTCCTGGTGGGCACAGGGCCTCGGCCACTCTTCAGAGGTCCTGTAGCTGCAGACTGGCCCTTGGGGACAGTCTGTGCTGACTTCAGTCCACTTTGGGTTCTGGCTGAAGTCTGGGGGAGACTCACGTTGGCCAGGGGAGTCCGAGCAGGGGACCTCGAGGAGCTGGGGCCGACTTGCTGGTGGGTCATTTTATTCTGAGGCTGCCTTTTGGGCACTGAAACCAATTTCCTATTTTGGGGGTCTTGGGAAGCTTTTGCGGAAGAAAAGGACGCGGCAACTGGCTGGTTTACACGCAAGGCTGAGCTCAGTTTAGGTGCAGGGCCTGGCACTGCCTGTGCAGCTCCACCAGGGGGCCGAGACCTTGGCAAGAGGCCTGGCGCTGTGCTTTTGGAAGTGGACTTGGCCGTTTTCGTAGCGGCCTGAGCTGGAGGCGGTGGCTTAGGCTTTCTGTGTGCATTCGCTTTGGGGAGCCTTGGGCATTCTGATGAAGGAGTCAGATGTGCTGCAGAGCGAGACCCCGCGTCATCCCGAGAAGAAATGCAATTGTGCTTCAAATGCTGTGGCGTGGCTTTTCCAGAACACTTACTTGGTGGGGGGTTAGCACTGGGAGCATCTCTGGACTTCTGGGCTGGACACCGGGCTTTAGGAGTACTGGGTGACAAGGCCCATTTCCTTAAAGGCTCAGATACACAAGGTGCAGTTCTTGACAAAGCTGGTGAACAAGTGCTTTTACCTACTCCACTTAGAGAAGCGAGAGGAGATGGCACCTTGTTGGAAGGCGTCGGTAGTGGCTTTGTTACGCCTTTGGAAGATTTGAGATGAGCAGATGCTGCTGGAGGATGCTGAGCTTTGGAACCTGGAGGATCACCTTTCCGTGAGGATGCTGCCGGCAGCCCAAGGCCTGGCGGACGGGCCCGCTTCTCTTTGCTCCTTAGAACACCAACTGATGGGGCCGGTGTTGAGTTTTGCTTCTGAAGCATGTTAACCGCTGACAAAGGATTCATCTCAGGAGGCTGAGGTGTTCTGGCGGGCGAGTCAGGTACACTTTCGTTAGAAACTCCTTTTTGAAATGCTAGAATTTTTTGTTCCAGTGTCGCAAACTGTAAGATTCGGCAGGGGTCGTATTTCAGCAAAAATCCTTGAAGAGTGTCCCAGCCTCCACCAACACGGACCATGACATGTTTGCCGTGAAGCATCTGCCCCCAACAAAGAAAGCAAAAAGTAAAGCTGTAAAACGGTGGTGCTCAGTGTCACAATTCATCGGCATTCACAATGTCTGAGGTCTGCAATCATACATTTCAGTCTGTGTGCCAACAGCTTCCCTCCAAACTGAGTCTCCTTGTATTACTCATGAATTTAATTCACATTGGATGATAAGACGGACAGTTAACAACAATTTCCAATGAGTAAGGAAGATATACACATATCTCGCGTTATTAACATGCAAAACTATAAGGACGGTATTGTTCAGTGACGAGCGGAATACTGAAGAAGGAAAGAGAGGGAAGGGGAAGGAGAAGACGTGGGACTTAGGGGGAAATGTCTCCTCACACAGAAAAAGGCATAATTACAGACGAAAGCTGACAGCTAACGCTCATAAAATTAAAGTAAAAATGATAATACTGATGAAGCCACTTTAATATGTATTCTGTCAAGTTTACAATTTTTAGTTTATTTTTGTGGTTGAGAATATACGCGGAACATACACCAAATCCAAGCACTTCCCCACTCTCTGAGCTGTGAGGCCATTCTCACCCCCCTTTCCACAACGTTCCTCCCCCGTCAACACAAGCTCACTGCCCCTTCGGTTTCCAATCCAATCTCTCGAGCTGCTGTGGTGAATCTGATTCTGAGACAGATCTTAAAGAACACAGTGCTCAAGGCACGCACACTCTTTACTAGTGAAGGTAAACAGCTGCCCAGTCTTTAAAAAGCTTTGACATAACTTACTATAAGTTCTTCTTTGTAGATGAGGAAATTACAACTAAAAACAAACTGCCAGTGTGTCAACCCCACTCCAGCAACCCAGTAGGCCAGGGTAGAAAATTCCCTCAAGAGCATAAAGCCTCGCCTTTCTTTCTTGGAAAGGCTGGAGGAAGCCCAATGTGTAACTGCCATGCGACCAGAGTGTCCAAGAACAAATAATGGCTTTGAGAAATGGAGGAATCTAGGGCACACAGCTTGGCCTGCGCCCCAATACACTGGGATACCTGTCACCCGAACTGTAATTAAGCGAGGACACGATGCATTCCGGCTCTGCGAGTTCAGCCCCAGCTAGATTTCAGTACCTTGTCCCTGTAGCAGGCCAATTTGTACAATGGTATGAGATGACCCTTCAACTTTGAACTCCAAGGCCATGTTCTGTCTATTATCACTATACCACTTTTACTTGAGAAAAAGGCGAAATGGGGGGGGAGGGGGGCGGTTAGAAAACAGGAAGTGCATGTAAGTGGGTTTCTGTGTGGGTTGGATAAGGGAGTTGAGGCTAATGATAAGAAATGAAATAAAAGAAAATATGGATGGTGAAATTATATTTTAAGGTATTTTTATATTAATAGCTTAGAAATAAAAACAGCGTTTGGATCAGGAGTGGACAAGCAAAGGGGCTAATTAATTAAGTGGTGATGAGACAGTAGAAGGAAATGATCATGTATCATTGACATATTAGCACACACTGATATTATGTCAATGAGAAAAATGGCTTATACTCCCAGGCCCAAAAGCTGTACTACAAAGGAGAATGCGGACAATTCCCTCTTTAGACTCCTGCTGTGTGCCTCCTCAGACACGAGCAAGTGTCCCGTCTTATCCTCGGACAGCGCCACGCTTCCCTTCCCACAGACCTTCACTGCTGTTTCTCTCAGAATGTAAAAGGGAGGCAAAAGGAGGTTGGTAAAACAATAAATCCAATTTGAAAACTGTACCTGTACTTAAACAAATGGAGGACTTACTCTTATAAAAAGTATTTTATCCCCGAGTCGGTACCGTCCTTCAGATAAGTAC